CGATAGAGGTGGGCGGGCGAGTAGGCGTACATGGAAACCAAGACAGTCCAGCAGCGCATGCCATGAACAAAAAGGGGGGGGAAAGCAAGATGGCTTTGTGGCATGCCCAAGAGTGTTTCAAAGAATGCCAATTGCCCCAGCAAATGGCCTAACTTTTCCACCGCATGCCTCGGCCCCCTTGGCGGGCCCACAAATCCCAAGGCCAGAACCACCAACTGATCTTACAGATTTTGAAAGTTCTAGTTCTACCTATGGCTGTCAGTCCTCCACCCTGCACTGACAGACCAGTCCCCAGGTGGCGCAAACCCCTTCGGAACCCCCTACGCCGTGACTATGCCGTCAGTTGTCGGCTCCAGAAATTCAGCCACCCTTTTGCCTCGACGATTAGCATGGCCCCTGAACAAGGATGACACCCACACAGAGGATTGAGAAATGGTCCAAATTCAAAATTAAAACAATGATAATAATAATAATAATGATGATGATAATTAGAAAAGAAGTTATGGCCCATCTCACCTCTCCCTCCTAACAGAAGGCAGGAGAGAGGTCGGCAAATCTGCCGGCCATAGCTTTGCCTTCTGCAGGCTGTCTTGAGTTCTTGCTACCACACACAAACAGAACCGTCCATGTGCTGGCCAATGGATATGGCTTCGATATGCACACATCAACAATCTGAGATAAGGGTCTGACTCCACCTCTCTCTATTTCATATTTTTTGCGACTGAGCCTCTGCGCCACCAAATACCGTCTTCTCCCGAATAAAAAGTCCGGTCATTATAGCTGCATTCGGCACAACGTCAGGTCCAGATGCGGTGATAACGACCGGGTGTTCTATTCGGGTGAAGACGGTAGGGATTAAGAAAAAATCGACAAATTTGGTCAGGACTCAGGACTCAGGAGTTGTTATAGAAAGAAGATTCCTCCTTTGCGAGGGAGGACTCTCAAAACATCCAGTCCTCTGCTGCCTGCACGCTCTCAAAAATTTGAGCGACCTCCGCCGGCCACCTCAACCAGCCTTGAATATTGAGAGTTGGCCGGGATGTCGTGACCCAGCTGTCAATATTTTTTTCTTCAGCATCATGTGCTCGAAAGCACCGAGAGCTGTACCAAAGTGCATCAGATCGTAAAATAGGTGGAGTGAGGACACCAAACAGTGCTTCAAACAAAAAAAACAAAAAAACAAAAAAAAAACAAAAAAAACAAAAAAAACAAAAAAAACAAAAAAAACAAAAAAAAAAGTGGTTTTCCGAGAGAGAGCCTGACAACTCTGAGACTCCACCTATTCTCTACTTGTCGCATGGTCGAGTACAGAGACCCAAGGTCACTGCCAGTGCACGTGAGAGCAGAGAGCCTGAGGGCCAACAACGAACTCGAAAATCGAATCCAAGTACCCCGGAATGGGGTATTTGGGTCTGACCATGGTGGGAGGGGTTGCTGAGTTTCTTGAGGTGGGTTTGGTCTGACCTGACAGTGTGTTCTTTAAAGGGTTTCGCAGCTGCAGTGCTGCTGCCCAGCAATAGATCGGAGCGTCGGCAATCTGGGGCCACCCAAGAGAAGCAGGATGTCCTGGAAAGCTGAATTTCATACAGTCTCTCTCTCTCTCTCTCTCTCTCTCTCTCTCTCTCTCTCTCTCTCTCTCTCTCTCTCTCTCTCTCTCTCTCTCTC